GCTAGCTTTGGGCGTAACGCCAGTAAGATACGTGCACTGGTGTTAGGCTTTTGTCGGCTGGGTTACTCTGGGGCTTTTCTGAAGGAGCGCTGTTTTGTTTCCAAAATCGTGAGCTGAAGGTCTTGTACTGTGTAGTCAAGTCCAGAAGCCATTCATGTGTTTTTGAGAGCTGCTTAGAGTGGTTTCTTTGATTTGAAGTGGGCAGAGGAAGGATAAGGACAGAAGGTGACTGTTAAAAAGAGAGGTGTCATTGTATAAAGCAGTTCGCTTTTCTTCCCAGCCTTATTTCTCCTCTCCTGTTGAGCAGGAGGAGCTGTGTTCACTGCGGGAATCTCCAGTGGGGATGAAGAAGCTCTGGCAGCCATGAACTGTGCAGCAGCTGCTCAGCCACGTTTTGCCTCAGCTTCCTGTTGTAAAGCTGAACTTATTCTGTAGAAGTCAACAGATTCCCTCTGGGTTTATGCTATTGTAGTCAAGAATAAAAATTACCCCCTTGATTTTAATATAGTAGTGAGTACAGCGTTAGTCTGAGCCTTCATTTAGCTTACATAGGCCCTGATAACCGCCAGGCGTATTTAACGAAGCAGATATTGTCAGAAGACTTTTGTTACTCCCAGAGACTGTGCTCTTCACACGGAGCAGTGGAAGAACTGGAGCAAAATGCTCTCTTTCCTTCCTGTGGAAGGAGAACCGGAGGACACCACGTGTGGACGATGGCTTTTGGGAGCGATGAGGTGTTTGATGCTCTTCTCTTCCACCAGGTCACCCTGTGTTCCAACACTGTGAAGAGGTATGAGCTGGCGCTGGTGGTGGACGTGGAGGGTGTTGGCAAGGAGGTGTTGGCCCTGCCCCTCACAGCCAGGTATCAGTGCTTTCCATGCAGCTTGCCCTCTCTCCTCGTGCATCCAGCACTAGCACGCTGCCTTGCAACACGCTTCGCTGGCTCTGGCTCCAAATGGGAAGCGTTAATGAGCTGGTTCTGCCCAGCTAGAGATGAGAAAAGCAGTGCTTTGAGAGCAGCCCATGTTGAGAAGCACCTGTGCTCAAGGGACAGGCATAGCCCTGAGCCTTTTTCTAAAGGGGACAGTAATTATATCCATTACTGGCCTATTTTTTGGTGCTTGAGGTCTAACAAATTTTCAAAGGGCCATCTCTCCTTCTTTTCCTGCAAGTGGTGGACTTGGTCTAAGGGAAGATGTCCCTGCTCATGGGAGGGGGGTTGGAAGCAGGTGACCTTTAAGGTCACTTCCAACCCAAACCATTCTGTGATTCTATGATTTGTGCTGTGTTGCAGCCAAAATGGAAAATTGGTTTGGGACACAGCAAGCAGCCTGCTGAGAGCTGGTGTCTGGTTCAGGTAACAAAGGAACAAAAAGAAGTTAAAGGCGATTTACTACTGTGGGGGTATTAAATGTCTGTTGGACAGTGACAAATGTGTGGTATCTCTAATTCCCTTTCGGTCATCTCTCCATCTAGATGCGTAGTTCCTCCGCTGCAAGTCCTCAACCCCGTCGTGACGTTTGGACGGTGCTTTCTAAAGTTCCCGTATCAGCAGATGCTGACCCTTGTGAACGACAGCGATCTTCCAGGCTGCTACGGGGTTCTTCCACAGGTTTGGCATCGCATCCTCTCCTGCCCTCAGATGTTATTGAGGGTTTTGGATAAGACCGTGCTAGTTTGTATTCAAGTAGGTTCCTCTTCTCACCTGGAGGTTTGCTGAGAAGAGGAACCTACCTGAAGATGAAGTTTAGGGAGCAGTTTATACTGTGGTCTTTGGGGTGCTTTCACGCAGCAGAATTTATGGGGTCGTGGAAAGCTGCTGGAAGGAGACTGCCAGCACAGGAGTGGGTGTCTGTGGATGCAGCGGCTTTTGGACCCTGTGAGGATGCTAAGCCCATACAAGTCTTGCATCTTGTTTTGTCCCTTTCTGCTTTCTCCTAGGGATTTTTAAAAATGTATGAATTGCTGTTGTGGTAGATCTCAAGGAGTTTAAAGTTTTCTCAGAGGTGCCTCTGAAGCTGGGTTTGATTCTGTCCCTCGTAGGAGCACACAGAGGGTGCTGCCGTGTGGTACTCCAGCCCCGTGCCGTGTGGGATCATCCAGCCTCGCAGCTCGGTGCAGGTCCCGGTTACACTGGAAGCCCAGGTGATGGGAGAGCAGGACACCGTCGCTCATGTCACGGCGTTGGGGAGCGAAGGGTCCCAACTGGTGAGTCCTCGTGGGTGTGGGCCTTTGTGCCACTCTCCTTGGTGGGCTGCGGACAGACAGGGTTGGGAACTCCAGGGATCCTTCCTGAGAAAACGAGCTTGTAATAGATGAGCCATGTAGACAAGGAGGGGAGGGATTCATGGCATGAGCAACAGCTGACATCTAGAAGAGGAAGGGTGGTGTGGAAGAGTTTGGTATGGAAGGGTGGTACGGAAGAGTTCATGGGGCCAAACTCTTTTCAGTGGTGCCCAGTGACAGGACAAGGGGCAATGGGCACAAACTGAAGCAGAGGAAGTTCCAGCTGAACACGAGGAAGAACTTCTTCACTCTGAGGGTGATGGAGTACTGGCCCAGGCTGCCCAGGGAGGTTGTGGAGTCTCCTTCTCTGGAAATATGCAAGCCCCGCCTGGACGTGGTGCTGTGCAGCCTGCTCTGGGTGACCCTGCTTTGGCAGGAGGGTTGGACTGGATGACCCACAGAGGTCCCTCCCAACCCCCACCATTCTGTGATTCTGTGATCTGCTTAGGCAGGTGATAATCTAAGAGTCTGACACAGTGCTTAATTATGGATGTGTGAGATGGGATAACGAGCCCAGTCTGGAACCCAGCACGATCCCTGGGTCTCGTACTCTGCTGTGTTATTTGCTGAGCAGCAGCTGCTGCTTCGTTTGGACTTTTGTTCTGGAGTACACAGGAACATCCCTCGATGCTGCTAAATCAAGCGCTGTGTGAGAAACCGTGCTGAAAGCCAGACCCATGGCGTTTGAGAAAGCCCCATCGCATCTCTTTGCCAAAAGCCCCAGCGAGAGAGACGTGAGTCTCCGCACTGCTTCCATCTGGAGCACAGGGACTTTATTTCTGCCAAGCTTGGAAATGGATGAGGCAAAGCTTTCCTGGGCTAAAACCTCCTAAACGGGGTTGTTTGCGTTCAGGCATACACAACAGCAGCAATGACAGCAGAATGTGGGCAGGAGAACATTGTATGTAGTGTCCTGGCTTCATCTAGCTGAAATCTAGAACAAATTTAGTTACGTAAACTTGAATTTAAAATGATAACGACTTTTGAAGCAGCTGTTTTGAAGTGTCTTATCCTCTCTCTGAGCATGACAGAGAATGTCAGAGGGTTGCTGGGAACCTGAAGCTTTCTGTTATGGAAAGGAAGGCCGGCATTTTGAAAGTGGTCGAAAGGGGTTTAAACTTTCAATAGAACAAAAGGAAATGGTGCTGCTAAATCCCCCGGATGCCCGGGAACATCTCAGCCCAGGCCATTGTGGAAGTGCCTGGAAATCGGTCGTCAGGAGGGCCGGGCAGGGAAGTCTGGAGTTTGACAGAACAGTTGCTCAGAAACAGAAGGCAGCATTCCCTTAAAGCAGAGGGTTTCTCCCCACTAGAATAAACGAGCTGTGGCCCGAAGGGCTGGAGAATCCTAAGCTGTCCCTAAAGAAACGACCAGCACGAGACTGAGCAAGCCTGTGCGCCTGTGAAGTTGACCATCAGCATATGCAGTGTCTGCTCGGTCACTGCTAGCGCCCAGCCAGTGCGGTTAGAAACCTGGCTGGGTGTGTTGCCAGCACAGACGTGAGTTTCTGGCTGCAAGGCGAGATCCGTTGCATTTCGTATAGCCCTGCCCCATAGCTTGGGTGGTGTTTCAGTCCTTCCATGGTCCAGAGCTGTCTGGGCGAGCACAAAACAGCTAACCACCTTGCTAAACGTCGTGCACTGGTGGCAGATCCTACCTGTATCATACAGTGCAAACCTGACCTCAGGGGAATCGCTGCAATGTGTTCCAATAAAGCAAAATATAGATTTGCTCGTCTCAGGTTATGCCGTCTGGTATTGATACCAAGTCTTTACACAGTTAGGTGAAAAATCATACGGATCCAGGTTGTGTAGGGTCCCTCTGTGGGTCTGTTGCCCGGTATTTCGTTTGCAGGTGGCTACATGCCGGCTTCAGTTTGGTGTGAGTCATCTCCTGCATTGGGAGCTAACAAAACACAGCCCTGGGGTTACTGGGAGCAAGGCAGGCTCGTGTGCCCCGGGCAGGGGATCAGCAGCTGACCGCTATGAGAATGAGGTGGTCACTCAAACCATGTCTGTCTGCCGGGGACAGATGCTCTTCACTCCTGAATGATGAGCTGTGACATTAAATACCCATCGGCAAAGCCCGCAGCACTGTTGGGGGTGTGTGTGGGTGTGTGGCAGGATTACCAATGGCAAAGTTGCCATCTCCTTTTGCTCCCTTTCCCCACGTGTCACGTTGTCTGTAAAGCTGTTGAATGGAGTTTTTCTTGTCCCTTTTGAGAAGACTGTAGATGAAAGGGTTTTTACAAGTCCTTTCCTTGGTGAGGATCTGTCGTGCTAGCACACACTCTGATTGAAGCCAGCCAGCTTGGGCGTCCTCCAGATGTTGTTCTGCTCATCTCCAAAGGGTTCTGCCCTGCCTTTGCTGCTTCTGCCCCACTGTTGCCTGGAGGCAAAGCCAGCTGGTGAGGCACAACTCTTCCCTCCAGCTCCTCCTTCCCTGGAGTCTGGGGCAGCATCACCAGCCTGCAGCTTTCCGTGCCTCCCTTCTCCTGGCAGGGTAAAAGGTCCATCAGCGTGCATGGCTTCAGCTCCTTATTTCTGAGCTACCAGCCTTGGTACGTGATTTTCGGCTCGCTCTTGCACAGCATCCTGTCAAAAACGAGTATTTGTGGCTGCCGCTCCTTCTGCCTGGGTTGGACTGGTGATTCTGACAGCTGTCAATGCCGCTTCCTTCAGCCGGGCATCAGGAAAGGTTTGACATCATGGGGGCTGCTTTCTTTTGTGGTTAAATCATACTCCATGCCCCGCAGTGAATCATACAGCAGCCTGTCAGCGTTGGGAGTTCTGTGCATTCAGATCCTGTAAAAGGGTTGGGGTGTTTAGAAGTGGTGAAATCCAGCCAGGCTGGATAAATTCTCGTTGTTTGCAATGATGCAAGAAGGTGGTTGAGCAAAGGGATCTGCGTTCCCCCTCCAATAGTCCGTGCAGTACTGCAAGAACGGGACTTTTGGGTCTCACACTGTCAAAAGAAAAAAATCCCGCTTGGATGGTGTAACTGATAATTAAAGTCTGTTATTCATGTAGTACCAGGAACACACATAAGCACAAATCAGAGTCAACTAATGTATGTGATCTCAGCTCTGAAGAGCCGGCTTTGCCGCCAACTGGTGCTGCTTTTCTCAGGCGCAGCTCCGGGGATGCGCAGAGAGTTCCTCTCCAGGCATGGCTGTGCAGCAGCAGAAGTCGGGGCGGGTGGTCTGGGGCAAGACGGAGCAGGAACAGGAGCGGGAGCAGGCACGGGGGGGAGGAAGGAGAGCTCACGGTGGGGAGGAGGGGTGAAAAGGCAAGGGTGGGAAACTGGATTTGTTTATCCCCTGATAACAGGAGCTTGTGGCTTGCAGATGGGATCACTCTAGATCCCACGCTTGCTCCAGGCCTTCCGTTTTGGTCTTACAATAATAAAAACTTCGAACAGCTCTAATTATCCCCCAGTCTAGGATTACCCTTAGAGCTGTCTAATCTTTTTAAACTTTCCCTGTTTTTTCTTTTTTGATCTTTCCTGCCTGCTTCCTGGAGCAGAAAATCCACTTAGTGAGCATTGGAGAAGGACCAGTTGTCTACGTGCGTCCGAGTAAGATAAATTTTGGCAGTATCCAAGTTCTACGAGATGCTTCCCGAACTCTCCACCTCTCCAATCAGAGTGTCATCCCTGCATCCTTCTGAGCCGAGACGGTATTTGTATATGCAGCATTTCCATTTTTCTGTCTGAGAGAGAAAGCAGAATATTCCATCACAGCTCAGCAAAAGGAGCCTGGCCCTGGGGGCAGTTTTAGCTGGGGGACCTCTCAGTAAAACAGGTAATTTGCTTAGATGTTTGAGCAGAAGTGAGTCTGGATCAGTTTTACAAGTTCTCCCTTCATTTTGTGGAAGGTATTTAGCTCCGAGTTTCACACCTACTGGGGGCCAGACTGTCTGGGTCATTGCACAAAAATATACATGTGAGGGTCATGTACCTCCTTGAGTCTGTGGACTGTGCAGCGTTGCGGAGCATCTCTGGAGAACAGCTGCAGGAAAGGCTGTGTAATTCATGGAGGCTGCGTGGGGTGACAAGCTGCCATAGCAGGAGCAGAGCTTGGCTGCTTCCCTGGCAGGGGGAGCGGGGCTGATGCAGCCGGGAAGGGCTTGTGTTCCGAGGCTGGGTGGGATGTTCTCCCCGTGGAAGGGGAGATTGGGGCAGGAAAATGGGGTTTAGAGGAGGTTTGTGCTTCTCTGCTGGGTGGGTTGGGCTCCTGGGGCTGGTTAACCCAGGCTGAATTGCCCTCTTGCTGCTTTTCCAGCTGTTTGACTCCAGTTCCTGTGCCCAGGAGGATAAATGTAACCTCAAAATGGGTGATTCCCACTGCAGCTTGCTTTGACTCCACGATGCAAATCTCCTTTCCATCTCTGCAGAGAGCAAGCTGCCTCAAATGGGTGGTGCTGGTGTAGAAGTGATGCTTTTTGCATGCTTGTACCCAAGACTGACCCTTGGAGCTGCTTAGGTCCTGTTGTAATGCCTTCCCTCCCTCCCCTGGGTGGCTTGCAGGAGTGGATCTGCCTCTCCATTGCCTCAGTGCCCTCATTTCTGGGGTTGGGCAATAAATCCTATTCTGCTGCACTGCTCTCTCTGCAAATATTGTGCTAATCAATAAGTAGAACAATAATAGGAGGTGGTTCAGGGCTGGTTTCTTTCCCTGCAGTAAAGGTGGACTCAGGTGCTCCTTAGTCCCCCCTGCTGACTTTACGGGGTGGAGCTACCCCACAGGGAGCATCTCGGCTTCTCAGGATGAGCATCTTGAGATGCTCAAGGAGGCAGGTCCTGGAAACCTGCTCGGTCTGGAACCCAAGTCTTCTGTTCTCTAGGATGCCAAAGCTGCTGCTTTGATTTCCTGCTCGGAGATGGCTGCTGGACGGGGAGCTGTCATTTTCCTGTCTCCCATCTGATGGCTAATCTCGAAACCGTGGCTGTTTGCAGTTAGGCTGATAGATCACGGTCCCCATGTGGAAGAAAGAGCTATTGATTGAAGTTTTCACAGCAGCGTTGGATCAGCAATGTTACAGCACACTGACTGGCAGCTGGACAAACTGAGGGAGATTAAATTAAGGGGCAGCAACAGGGCAAGTAAAAGGCTGGTGTCATCTTCAAAACAGAAAAGGAAAATGCCTTAATGCAGATTGCCATGCCGCTGCCTGGGCGATATCCTTAACCAGCATGTGCAAATCGCTGCTCCTGTCAAGTCAAGCTTTCTTCTTGTTTGATGGGAGAAAAGAGCATTATCTGAGCAAGCAGAGATGGTTTCTGTGGATATCTTCACTTTGGGATAGCAATTTAAGGAATTACCTGTCATAGCCCGTGAGCAGAGGCTTTCCCGTACCCCTCTCTCTGTCAGATGAGTTGCAGGAGCAGCACTGAGCATCTCCGCTGCCGGAAGGGAATAAATAAAAAATCTCCAAAGCTGTGCGTTGAGATGGGGCTTTTGGGGTTTGAAAAGGAGCGTGGGTCTTCATGCCCTAGTTCTCTGTTGGCTTATCGCTGCTTGCCAGGGTATGTGCAGGTCTGTGACCCGTGGGACCAGTGTGTCGTACCGGGCTCATCCACTGATCCCTGTGTCTGTCCAATGTGCGTTTGCTTGTCAGAGTGCTTTCCCAGCTGCCAGACAGCCTGGCCTGCCAGAGCATCCTCTGGACCAGCCAGGGGAGGGCTGGCCTTTATTGTGGGTGGAAAAGACTGGAGGAGTAGGTCGATATGCAGGAGCTGTTGCAGCTCAGCTGGGGGCTGATGTGACCTGCTGAGGAAGGTGGTTGTTTCTCCTCCTCGCTGCTGTCATTGTCTTCTCCTGTTTCCCTAAGCATCTGATTTTTGCTGTATTGACAAGTGCAAAAGAGTTGTATTGATTAATGGAAGTGTTTGCTCTCCCCGCAGAAAGGCAGAGAGGAGAAAGCATCTTTCTCTGATCATTTCCTACTAGTTCTTTGTTGCGCTGTCTTCTCGGGGATCTTTTCGTTTGGCTGCTGCGGGTGACATCTCTTGGTGTCGTGCAAGGCAGCTGCACATCACACCAGTGTGACCAGGAAAGAAAAAAGCAGGCATAGGGGATAGTTTTTGTTAATCAGCGACAGCTTTCTTCTGCCTGCATAACCACCGTGCTGGGTCTGCTATGCGCTGCCGCGGGGAGGCAAGCGGTGGTTTCCCGGTGCCTTGTAATGAGGGGGGAGAGAGAAAACCTTTCTTGGGGTCCTGTCTCCTTTGGCGTGATCCTTCGTCTCCCTAATCCAGCGTCCTCTGCTTCTGATGGGGCTCACGGATCCCCTTCCACGCTCCCAGGGATGAGCTGCTGTCATTCAGCTGGAGTTGACATCACAGAAGAGACCAACTTTTGTTTACTTTACAAAAAAAAAAACCCACAAACCCAAACCTGTAGCTGTTTATCTTCTCACTGAGATCCACTGGAGAAAAGTCAGCTGATATCCAGGCAGCGTAATAAAGACTATTGGTCAAACTCGGTGTCAGCAAGAAGAGAACACGCATTTCCCATTCCCATGCTTGCCTCTCTCCTCATTAGTGCAGGATTTGTTTCATTTACTAATTTCATTGCTTATTATCTCAAGCTTTTGACGACGTTCCCTTTAGTAAAGAAACAGCCATATGGAGAGACAGCAAAACAGGGAGATAAACTTAAAACCAGCGCTGATAAAGGGATGCCGCTTTAGTGATTCTGTTTCTTGTTCTGGCTGACAGGTGATTTTGTGGTTATCCGAGCGAACTGCGCAGGCTGCAGGGAGGGAAGGCTTTGAAGAGCGTGTCCACATTGTTTGGAGCTCTATCTAATGGCTCTCACTGAAGTTGGAGCAGACTTGAATTGGCAAGAGAGTGGTTTTTAAATCTGCTGTAAATTACTTCATTTTTTTTCTCCCCCAAGCAACAGAATAATTAGCCAGCCCATTGGTGTTTGCTCATAGCGAGGCACAGGCAGACAGTGCCGTGCCCTTCAGATGGTACCTGCAATGCTAGTTAGAAATGAGTATTAAATTCACTTTCACTTATGGGCAGCACAGGCCCTGAATATGTGGTCTCTTCCAAGGTGAGCATGGCTTTTGAAGGTAAGATGTGTAGGCTTAACTCTTTCCAGAGCTGTCTCACCAGAGCCTCACGGTGCTCTGAAAGCTCCCCTTTAGACTTAAAGCATAGGTTTGGTTTTTAAAGGCTTGTGTTTTGCTGATACAGCAGTACCAGTTTGCTGATTTCCATCCAGGCTGGACCATGCCTGGAAACTCATGGTCATCAACAGGGATCAGGACCAGGAGCATCCAGTCTTGTGCCGGTGACCAGTTGTATGAAAACCTGAGGAAGGTGGAAGGCTGTGCCCATCCTGGTGTTGCACAGGCTTAGTCCAGGGCGTGTAGCTCTTAAAAATGAGAGCAGAGCTTTGGAGGAGACCTTTGGAAAGGTGCCTGAAACCTGGCCACAGGGGAGAGGGATTGTTTTTACCACATCAGGTATCTTGTTTGAGTTCATGCCTATTTGAAATTGCTGTATTTCAGTCATCGAAGAAATTGTTGTTCTGCTTGTCTAGGGGAAACGAAACTGGTTGTCTTGTGCTGCACCCATTGGCCAACTGAATTAAAGAAGGGGGGAAGTCTGCAAGGCAGTTGTTCTCCTGCTAGCAAGAGTGACTCAGCAGAGTGCTTTTCCCAGGGGAAAAGCAGGAGGAATTTGGTTATTGAATGTTGTGCTTGGCAGCAGCCAGCCAGCCCATGTCCTGGCTGGAGAACCCTGATGTGCGGACTGGTGGCACTGGGCTCCCCAGCCCATGGGGAGGGCAGATGGCATCTGGAGGGGCAAGCTGTTGACAGGGGACACAAATGGAGACAAGCTTCATTAGCTCAGCAGCCTGCTGTTACCTGAGCCAAGTGTGACGAAGTTGGCTCCATTGTCGGTGGCAGTGAACACCACACTTCATTTTTTTTAGAGGCTCTGCCTTTTCATTCCGTAAAATGTCTCCTTGGTTGTGCTCTGGGGCAGAGGCTGAACCGAAGTGTTCCCCATGCTTTTGCAGAGGAGATAGTCGTGCTGAGGTGCCAGGAGGAGGTTGGTGGGAGCATCTAGCCAGCCTCACGCTCCCATCTCCACTGTCCGCTGGGCTCGGGGTGCTTCAGGGCTGTTTTCTGCCACTGGCGATTTGCCGGAGGTTAAAAAGTAGCTTTGAGATGCAGAATGTTGGGACTGCTAAAACACCTGGGACAAGGCTCTGCGCACAACTGGTGTGGGACGGTTTTATTTCCTCTTGAAGGAAATTCTTCCTTATTTCCCTCTTCAGGGGTTTTATTTCCTCTTCGTGCACAACCTCCACAGGGAGCGAAGGGCCCGCCTGACACGGTGTGAGTGCTCTGTCACTAGAGCTATGGCTTGGTAAGAAGTCCAGCTGCATTTTTAATAACAAGCTCTGTTTGCTTATGCAAGCCAGAGCGAGCAGATCCCTTGAATTAACTAGCTATAAGGAGCTTCAAGTGACCCAAGTGTGGTGGCTCCTCAGTCATCCCTCAGGGCAGCCATCCATCCATCCATCCATCTCTCAGATGCACGCTGGTGTCTACTATAACCAAATTTTGGCAGCTCTTACTCACAGTGGAAGCCTGTCCTGGGAGAAGCTAATGATCTCAGCATTGAACTTCTTGATTGAAGTGATTGATCCCAACCTTGCCTAGCACTCAAGGACTCGGATGTCCAATAGTGCGAGCTCCTGCAGGGACAAAAATAGCGGCCGTCTTTGTCTATCTGGTGCGTGCAGCGATTGCATCATTTTTCAGAGCAGTCAGGGATAAGCAAGTAGCAGGGCTGTTGTCAGAATTTAGATCTTGGTCTCTAAAGCGATGGAGGTTTTTTAGCATGGCTCCAAGAGATTTCTCGTCTCTGGAACACAGCCTGCATGGGTGCAGGCAGAAGCTGACACAGAAACCAGAGTGGATCTGGCCCGGCAGAGCCTTTCATTCCTGGCAGGTCTCTTGCTCAGCGATGCGCTGTGCGGCCCCTTGGACCCCCACTGAATGCTGTCTGAGGGAAGGAGGGCGCGATGCAAGTCACGCTCCTCCCTGGTGGGCTGTTGGCCTGGCAGGGCATGGTGGGTCTGTGCTGGTTCGCCCTGGGAAGTTCAGAGTCTGGCTCCATCGAGACAGCCTATCGTTATTCCCTGGTAATAGTTTCTTGGGTACAATTTACTGCCCGGCTTGTTGCCAAGCTTTGATAAATGAGCTTTGTCAGATAGCAGACTGCAGATTCACCTCTGGAGCAGAGCTATCAGGTCTCCTTTTCAAGCGAGCTACCCCGTGCCAACGTGAATCAGAGGAAAAGCTGTACATTAATGTCAACGAACACCCAACACCCACTGGCTTGGCGTGAATGCATTGGCTGGGTAGCCCTTGGCTGATGGCAGCACAGTGGATGCCTCTGAGGCTGCACGGGGTGGAGGGACAGCAGAAGAGGGGTGGTGGGATCCTGTGTGCTCAGTGAGCTCAGTCTCCTCGTGTCTACCTGCCTGGGGTTGTGGGCGTCACTGGCCTTTGAGGGGACAGTGAGTTTGGGGCTGATATTTTTTTTTGGATGGAGTTTCTATGGCTGTAGTCTCTCTGAGCAGGTGGAGCTCTGCTGACAGGCTTTGCTCTGTTTGCCATCTTCCAGTCTAGCTGGAGGCCCTGAGTTCAGCCTGGTTTTCCAGCACTGCTGCTCCTCTATAGCTGAGGAATACTGGCGGCACAGAAGACAAAAAGATACCAAGACAGACCTCAAAGGGAATATAAGAATATTCCCCAATGGAGTACCACGTCCCAAACCAGGAGGGTGGAGTGTAGGTTGCAGGTAATAATGAGTGTGGAATATGTAGGAGTGAAAAAAGCCTAGCCTGGTCCTCATGGAGAAGCAGAGCCCCAGCGTTTGCTCTGTGCCAACTACCTTCCTCCATCCCATTCGCATCTTGCTGCTTTTTTTAAGACTTTCTCTTGCAGCTTTAGAGGATGAATTAACTGGAGCTGAGTTTCTGAATTTTGTGAGCACCTAGAATAGTTTTTGCTGTCTCTGGCGTGCTCCATCCTGGGCTGCGGGGCTGCAGACCTGACCTGCTCTCCACGCAGGGCACAGCCAGCCTGAGGAGCTGTTGTAGCTGGGGCACCTACGCTTACTGCTGGGACCCTGAATGCTCAGCAAGCTATTGCTTCCCTGGCCTCCAGCTAGTCTTGCCCTTGTTAGAAGAGGTCACTTGGGGGGTTATTTAAAATGCTTCCTGTGGCTTCAAAGTGCTGCTTTGGTGTTCTGATGGTCTTCTCCCTTGGACTGGCTGGTGTCCTGTTAGTGCTGCCTGCCTGGCAGACAGAAGCTTGAGCTAACTTCACCTGGATCAAGCACGGGCTTGGGTCAGGCCTCCAAGCACACGGTTTCTTTCTATTAAAAAAAGGACAAAACCTCTTCTCTTAGAATACTGTCGAATTCTGGGTGAGTAGTGCCCATCGTCCCAAATGCAGCAGTGAACTGTGGGGTGCGGGTGCCACCAACACCGCGATGGACACTTCGAAGCCACACATCTACATCCCGGCGCATTTCACGCTAGCCAGGGAGCATTGCATTCACTTCTCCTCTCTAAGCTTGCTCCCTGTGGGTGTGGTTTTAGGCAGGTGGGGGGTCCAGCACCTTTATTGCCTCATCCGTAGGGGGAGGTCAGTGAGAAACCGGAGGAAGTGAGTGCTTGGGAAGCCCAGGCCATTCCCACAGGGCATGCGTCTTGCAGTTTTCTTCCTGCTTATTGCTTTACTGCCCTGCAATAAACCTTTATAGCTAAATTTTCCAAAGCGGAGGGCACTGGGGCACCTCGCTGCAGCTGATGAGCAGTGAGAACTGCGTGTTTCGGTCTTTCAGGGGCTGTTGAGCAGTGCTGCCTAACTCTTGGCAAAGAAGACTTTGGTGTTGGGGTTTTGATTAACCGGGTTTGCAGTATTATTCTTCAGGCTCTCAGCAGTGTCCCTCAGCCGTGTGGCTGCTGTGGTGGGGTTTGAGCAGTCCTGGCTTCCTCTGGCCTTGAGCCTTCATGCAAACCCGGCTGCCGTTGTCGGGAAGCCTGGGGGGATAGAGTAGCCTCCCTTGGCGCGGCCCAACGGGAGGACTGGA